CGTTGACGCTTCCGCACGGTCCCCGCGGGCCGGTTCCGAACGGAGTTACAGGCAGCTGTCTCTCTCGCGCGAGTGCGCAACGCCCCCTGAGTGCGAGAGAGACGGGTACACTCGTAATCGCTCTGCCCGCTGTCCCATGCTGGCTTTGCTGGCGTGCCGCTGAATCATGGCGGCTGGCTTGGGCTGGCCCTCCAAGCAGCCCATGCATGCCGTGCCACGCCACGCCGTGCCACGCCACGCCACGCCGTGCCACGCCACGCCGTGCCACGCCACGCCACGCCACGCCGTGCCACGCCACGCCACGCCATGCCACGCCACGCCGTGCCACGCCACGCCACGCCACGCCACGCCGTGCCACGCCACGCCACGCCGTGCCACGTCTGCGAGTCGCTCGCGCCCGGCGACCGGGAAGGACCGGGGGGCCGTCCCGGAATACGCTGCGTCCGTGTCCCCAATCTCACGCGCGACGCGCGGGGGAGGGACACGGACGCACAGTGGGCCAGAAGACCGGTGGAGGCGGCCAAAACCCCGGAAGCGTTTTGAGCTCGAGTCGCTAAATGGGACTCGAGCCGAACGTGTGACCCCACCAATGGACTGCTCTCCGAACGAGGAATCCATTGGTGGGGTCACACGATCGGTTCGAGTCCTGTTTAGCGACTCTGGAGCTCAAAACGCGTCTTGAGGTTTGGCCGCCGGCGCCGGCCCTCTGGCCCACTGTGGTACGGTCCCCCGCAGACTGATTCCGAGAGTCGTTTTCGCCGCTCTGTCTCCCTCGCACTTCGACGGGGCGCCCCGTGAGTGCGAGAGAGGCGCAGCGGCGAAACGATTTTTCATGGTGTGGCGGCAGGGGGCTACGCCGGGCTACGCACACCCCACTACGCGTGTCCCGGCGGGGCGCGGCGAGAGTAGTTGGAACCAGTTTTAACGTGGGTCCCCGGTCCCCGCTAGCGGTCCCCGACGGTGCCGGCCGCCGGCCAGGGCGCCAACTCTGGCCGCGGGGGCTGCCAGGACCAGTGCGGAGAGAGAGAGAAGCAGCAATGAGGACCTCATCCCTGCAAACTGATTCCCAGCCCCAGCAGCGCCTATACGCTGTCCCTCTCGCACCCTGACAAGACGCCCCATGAGTGCGAGAGAGACAGGAACAAGGCAACTGTTCGGAATCGGACTGGTACACCCGAGGGGTACCTCACCTCGAAAATAGGTGTACACTGACTGGAGACTATACTCAATTTCCACTTTGACTAGATTGAAAATATCACGAAATGCGTTGCAAAAATACTACAATTAGGACAAATTTACGTAGTTTTGCCGGCTTTCTAAGTGACTAGACTGAAACGAGGCAGTGACTGGAGTCAGGGGTGTACACTGACTAGACGAAGTGAGGTACCCCTCGGGTACACCGCTAAGAAAATTCGCCAGCATCATAGCCGTCGTTCTGGGACGGTCCCCAGGCAAAGAGTGGGAGGGAGAGGGAAAGACCAATACCCCCTTCCACTCCTCATTGATTGGATGCACACTACCAGTGCAACAACGGATGCAGCGGAAGTGAGACAACGTCTCTCTCTCTCCCATTCATTCGCGCGCAGCCTGCCGTCTGATTCCGAACACTGCTTCGTCACTCTGTCTCTCTCGCACCCCTTCGGACCTCCCCATGAGTGTGAGAGAGACAGAGCGACGAAAGCAGTGCTCGGAATCAGACGGCTGCACCTTGATTGCCGGCATGGTCACACCTTCCGCGGGCTGCATCTGCCGTCCCCTTCCCTCCTGGTCGTCCTACCGACTGATTCGTTTCCGTCGCTGCACAGTGGGCCAGAAGACCGGTGTAGATGGCCATAACTCTAGACGCGTTTTGAGCTCCAGAGCCGCTAAACAGGACTCAGACCGGACGTGTGACCCCACCGATGGATTGCTCTCCGCACGAGGCATCCATTGGTGGGGTCACACGCTCGGTTCGAGTCCCATTAAGCGACTCTGGAGTTCAAAACGCGTCAAGAGTTTTGGCCGCCTCCATCGGTCTTCTGGCCCACTGTGCGCTGCCTCCCTCTCGCACCCGCAAGGGAAGCCCCGTGAGTGTGAGAGAGGCAGAGCCGCAGCCTGTCAGTCCCACCCAAGTCCATTGACTCAGTGCCGCACTTGTCGAGACAGAGATAGGGAGCGAGAGACCCACTTGAGCATTATCTCTCAGGTATGAGGCTTAGGGAAGCTGTCGAGTGCAGGTCAGGTGAGCCGCCAGCTCTTGCAGGATGTCAGGAAGAATCGAATCAAATGTTCAGTTCTATTTCATTTATTTCCTTCTTAATATCATTCATACACAGATAACAGACATGCTATTTTATACACCGGAAAAACGATCAACTGTTGAAAAGGGTTTCCCTCACTGAAATGCTATAATCGTAAACTCTTAACACACAATTTCAAACAAATCATACAACAAGCCAACATACTTTCTAAAACAAGTGACACAGCAAGAGGACTGATGCCCAAAACTCCCACTCACACTGAACACAGGAAAATAAAATGCCTAAATATTTGGAACCAAACCTACTGATAGCATGGACCTCACAACGCAAGACCCTTGCAAATTTATTTCAGTTATGTAATTAAATGGGAAAATTTTTAAGCCCCATGTGTTTAGAAACACAATAGCTTTCACAACACAGCTCTATTGCACAAAGTTTAAAGGACAAAATAAAATCTATTTAGCTTAAATCAAGAAAATCCTTCGTCAAGAAACCTTGATTCACATTTACATAGCAGCCCATTTATAGGGGAAGATAACAGACATGATCACTTAAGGAAATATCCAGCAAAAGGCAATGCCAATAATTACAATATGGGATACATTTATACAATTTATTAGGGTTGTGCAGTTCAAGCGAGGGGCAGTATATGCAGCACTCAGCCGCCTTTAACTTTGACCTAACAGTGAAATGATGTATCAATGACAGATGAACCACTAAAATTACCAAGGGTGACTTAAGTATTATACAGTATATGTTTACATATATACTCATATTTCATCTTCCTGACTTAAATTGCATTTGAAGAATGATAGACACTCATTGGAATGTACAAATTATCATCTAGTATTCACTTTAAACAACACTGTACCCACCCCTGACTAACTGGTAACAATACTACAACTACCAACAGACTAAAACCTCACATAAAATTTTAATACAGCAGTTAATACCAAATGGCTTATATATTCAGACAAAATTTTAAAATCCAATAAAAGGCGTCCAAAACTGACTGTTGATAGAATCTACAAGCTGCCTTGAAAATAATTTTTTAAGTGATAGATGACACCAAATCAAGCAGAAGGTACATTGTTGTACTATTTAACATCAACCAGGGGTAAGTACTACCTACATCAATAGTTAATTGGTAGACATTGTCAATAATTGGTTATGACTGATTCAGAAAACCCTACAAAAAGAGAACTCAACTCCTTGTGGTAGGCCTGGCTGACAGAACGACCAAAATGAGTAGCTTGAAAGGGAGAAAGAAACCCTTTCCCTCCCGACTAAAAATTCAAATTTTAAAATAATATTTACACAAGACAAACAAACTACTCCCCAGGAGCAGTATATAACAGAACAGAGAAAGAAGGAGAGAAAGGGACAGAATGATATGAGACAATTGTAATATCAAATAATACTAGCCCTCCACAATGTCTGCTGCGAAGCAAGCGATCAACACCTTTCAAGCTAGACATTTTCTTTTCTGTTGCTGGGGCAAGCATAATTTAGTACAAAACAATATACGCTTCAAAAGTACAGTGAGCCGTTTTAAAACCACCTATTATTTTTTAAATATTTTAAAAAAATAAAAATAATTGTGCTACAATATTCAGCCTTTGTAAGAAAAAAAATCCTGGAGCTGAATACTTCCGGAACTCTGTCTTTCTTTTGTTCAGAAAATAAACTAAGACTAATGTGAATACTTTTATGAATGGTGGGTTTCGCCCAGTTGGGGACACATTTCGGCACTGCCCGCCAAATTTCCCAGCTTATCACAAGCGAGGGACCCAAAACAAGAAAGATAAATCAAAAACAAGAAGAAATCCAAGGCTGGGTATTCTTCTCTTTCTTGAAGTACAGAAGACCAGGGCACATGAAGTTTCTTAATTTTTGGAGTAGAGGTAGATGGCAACAATGAGACCGTACAGACCCAAGACCTCAGCGAAAATGAGGATAAGGATCATACCGACGAAGAGACGGGGCTGCTGGGCTGTCCCTCGCACACCAGCATCACCAACAATACCAATGGCAAAGCCGGCAGCAAGACCACTGAAGCCTACAGCGAGGCCAGCTCCCAAATGAAGGAAGCCCCTGGAAACAACAAAAAGTTAGGATTCCAAGTCTCAGGGATTGACAACCCCAAAATGGCTAAAGGCTTTCAAACTTACTTGAATAGTGAGTAATTTGGAGGCTCATTCAAGCCACCAGCAATCAGGACTGCCACGACTAACCCGTAGATGGCAATGATACCCGCCATGACAACAGGAATGATACACTTCATAATAAGTTCTGGTCTCATTACTGACATGGCAGCAATACCAGTGCCGGACTTTGCTGTGCCATAGGCAGCTCCTAGGGCTGGAACAGAAAAGAAAAATTTCGGTTAGTCTTCTGCCGTGTCAGACCTCAAAACTCAAGGAACATTTTTTAAGCTGATCTGTTGGAGAGTACTACAACAGACCCACAGTAAACGTATCTTAGGATCTGAGAGTGAAGGACCTATCAATGCTTTATCAGCCAAGACCCATTCGAGATAAGTGCCTTCAAGTGGTTTCTGAAGTAGAGGAAGTAGATAGGGAGGTGATGCCATGAGGAAGAATGGCCACTGATTGTGTTTACAAACACAAATGCCCAGTTTTAGGGCCAAAACAGTGGTGTTCATGTAATGTGAATGAGGTCACAAGACCAATCACATGACTTGACAGAGGGGCAGCCATCTTGAATCAGCTGATGTCAGCCAGAGATTCTAAAATTAATTTGACAGTATTGCTTTCCAGACTGAACCTCGTGTAAAATGTAATGGGACAGATGAGGATAAAAAGTTGACATGCTTACGAAGTGGTTTAAAAGCATTTACGATTTATGTAACTTTACATTGGTTATGGAGTGCCCTGTCCTGCCAGCTACGGCTTGACTTATGATACAATTGAATAAATCTGAATCAAAATACGGCCAAAAATGCAACCCTAAGCACCACCCACCCAAACTAGGCACAAATCACTGAAATTGATAGCTGTTCATGGTCATGGTCACGGGAGAGGAATGAATGAACCTAACCACTTTTAATGCATGGGACAGTTCTCGGCCAGCATTTCGGGCCAAATCAGCTCGTTTTCGATCAGCTAGTCATGTTTCGGGCGCCGCGTCAGTTCAACTCGTGGCAGGAAGCCACTTGCGCCCGCCTGGTCACGAGACCGCGCATATGGCCACGGGCTGGCTCGCCTCCCGGGCCCCCAAGTCCGCGAAAGAGCCGTCCTGGAGGCAGCGAAGCCCTCGGCCTGCCGTTTTCGCGGCCACGGCCTCCATTCCGCGAAGCTCGGCCTCGCAAAGCAAGGCGACATCCACCAGGGACGTGCCAAAGCGGCCCGAGAGACACGCCGACACCGAGGCGAGCTGCCTGACAACTCGTGACCCGCCGAGGCCGTCACAAGACCGCCAGGCCAGGCACGGCGGCCGGGGCCTCCGGAAGGAATTTCTGATCACGGTGCATTTTCCAGAAACGGCTGGCGCGCGGTGTCTGCACGCGTATTTCGGCGCTCGGGCCGCGCGGCAGCGAGCCTGGCCCGGCTCTCGAATTGGAGACACGGTGCCAAGCGAGTGTTCTCGCTGGGGCCCTGGGGTGGCTGGCTGGCTGGCGCAGCCCGGGCCGACCGAAGCCCCGGTTGGGGTGTGTCACATGCTAAGGCTTCCGCCCCGTCATGTGACACTGCGGGCCGCCTCGCCCGCAAATTCACGGCAAAAGGCCCAAACGGGGCGGCCTGGCCTGGCCCGGGTCGTCTCGCCCAAGGGAAAAAAGATGGGGGCACCCCGGAGCAATCAATAGGGCCCGACTTGGGCCCCCATCGCGCCTCGCATACGGGGCTCGCGTTTGCTACTTACAGCTGAAAACGATGGCCGACGCAGCGCCCATCACTCCGAAGAAGGGAGAGTAGATCGGTGAGTTTTCCATTTTGACTTTGTTTTGAGGTATTTACACGACCACGGGGCACAACACGAATTGCTCGGCACTAGCTCACACACTCTCTCACTAAACTAGACAGCTCACTGTCAAATATGGCCTACTGGCTGAGGGTCATGTGACGGGCAGTGTCGGACACAGCGGGCAGTGTGTCGCTCGGCGATTGGCTGAGAAGTGAGCTCGGCGCTGCGCTCCGCGAATCGCCGCGCCGCTCTCATGTGACTCGGTGACGTCACGCCCGCCAAGGCCCGTTGGCTGGCGACTCGCTAGCAGAAGACGCGCTCCTTCCAACGCTTTTCCAAGCCCGCGGAGCGGCCTAAATTCACACAAATTATTTAATTTGACGAAAAAGTGGATTTTGAACGGCGTGGAAGCCCATTCACGACGCGTTATCAAATAATACAGTTTGAAAATCGATAAAAAGGACATCTGTTTCGGCACGGCCTTCTCGATGTCACTTCGAGGTATCGAGGCAGTTCCAAAATCGGCTTAAAATTTGTATTTAACGCGTGACGGGCACAAATCTGAAATAAAATTTCACCAAATTGAAAATTGGATTAGGATCTCCCCTCAATCATGAGATTAAATCCTCCGAAACAGAACAAATTTGAAAATGAAAGACGTAAGGCTTCTTAGCCATCAGCGAGAAGAAGACAGAAAGCACCCATGCAGAGGTAAACACAAGTGCTTTCTACACGTGAGAGACTGTAAAATGTGTGAACTTCTTCATTTTAAAGTGCTGGTTGTGTAGGAAAAGCTTGGAAATACCCCTCAGTATTATTTATTTTACTGTCTTTGTTCTTTCAAACGTGTTTCGTGCTTTTCAAAGTGAAGGACCATGAAGTTTGGGTACAAGGTACCGGCACCTAACCTCTCTTCTGCTACTGTGTTGTTGTTTGTAGAATAAACGATAATTTCCTCTACTAAATCATGATTTGCTTTATATTTCAGTTTTCTAACCTCTTCGGATCGGTTTATCATCGCGGAAACTTATTATTCACCCCAGATGGCAACTCTGTCGTTAGCCCTGTAGGAAACAGAATCACCATCTTCGACTTACGGAAGTATGAAAACAATTCATACTCTTTTCCATGCAATAGTAATATTATTAAGTTAATAGGATCCTAAACCATCTTTGAATTTTCTGTTTTCTTGCAGCAACAAGACTTACACCTTGTCTGTGGAGAGTCGATTCAATTTCACAGCTCTTGATCTTTCGCCCGATGGTTGCATTCTGATCGCTGTTAATGAACAAGGAGAGGCACATTTGATCAGTTTAATAAGCAAAACTACAGTTCACAAGTACCGCTTCAACAGGAAAGTTAGATGTGTGCGGTTTAGTCCAGATGGGAAACATTTTGCTGCATGCAAGGAGAACAATGTCTTCGTATTCAAATCTCCCGGGCCGGCCACCGGGCAATTTAACCCTTTTATCATGGAAAGAGTATTCCACGGTGCCTTTGATGACACTACGTGCCTATGCTGGTCTTCGGACTCAAAGTAAGTTTTTGAAATACATGTTATTACCTCGATGTGTGGCAATCACTTGAAAAATTGGACATCCTCTCTGTTCCAGAGTTTTGGCTGTAGGTTCCAAGGACATGTGTACCAAACTTTACCCTATGGAAAAATTTGCTAACTTTAGAGCAATGACTTTGGGAAGTCATTCTGATGCAATTAGAGCTATTTTCTTTGAAAAGAATTCGCTAGACATGATAACTATTGCCAGGTATTTTTATACACTCAACATTATCTTTAGTAACATGTTGTTTCTCTCTGCAAAATCTGGAAAAAATAGAAAAAAAACAAAAAAAAACGGATTGATCAAACAACTTCTTTTTTATGATTTGTTTTGAAGGAATGGTCATCTTTGTGTTTGGGAAAGCAGTATTGATCTTTCGGATTTAGAACCATGGGAGCCAAAACAGAAAGTAAAGAAGGAAGCTGAAAACAGTGACAGTGAAGATGATATTCCACCGAAAAAATATGATGAAGCTGATTCCTCAAAGAAAAAAGACGACGATATGGACATAGAGGAGGATGGTAAATGTTGATAAATTAGGGTGTGCATGATATTCTTATATATTCAGGCTTCTTACGGGTTTTATGGTGTTGTTCTTGTTCAGGTGCAGTACAAAAATTAGTGTACAAAAGATTAGCCAGACACTATCTTAATGATCTGGTTCGGACGGACAGAAGTGCAACCTTAACGTCAGCTGCATATCATGAAAGCACTCACGTGCTTGTAACTGGTTTCTCATGTGGATCATTCTTCTTGCATGAAATGCCAAATGTCACCCTTATTCACTCTCTTAGGTTTGTGTTTTTTTCCTTTCTGTTTTCAAATAAAATCTTATTTAACACATTTTGATATGGGAATTTTTTAATGTTCTGTTTTTATTATTAGCATCTCTGATCAAGTGATTGCCACTGTGTGCCTGAATGCTCCGGGTGACTGGATTGCTCTTGGGTGCGCTGGTCTCGGTCAACTGCTAGTCTGGGAATGGCAGAGCGAGACATACGTCATGAAGCAGCAAGGTCATTCCAATAATATGACATGTATGGCTTACTCTTCAGATGGCCAGTATGTCGTGACAGGTGGTGGTGATGGCAAGGTATTCATTATTTTACTTTCAAGCAGGCATTGAATCACGTTTAGCCAATTATTCTGGCATTCATTACAAATTGTTTTTATTTTCAGGTCAAACTGTGGAATACCTCCTCGGGTTTCTGCTTTGTTACATTCCATGAGCACACTGGTGCTGTGTCAGGAGTGCAGTTCAGCCAGAATAGGAAATTTGTCATCTCATCCTCCTTGGATGGCACGGTCAGAGCCTTTGATATGACCCGGTGAGTTGATTCCTTCAGTTTTTAATATAGTCTGTTCTCTCATTTGTAATTACAAATTAGTGTATCAATTTTAAAACTATTTAAAATTTACTTTTCAGATACCGAAATTTCCGCACCCTGACATCTCCCCGGCCTGTGCAGTTCACATGTGTCGCCATTGACAAGAGTGGGGAGTTTGTGGCAGCTGGAGGACAAGATGTATTTGAAATTTACCTCTGGTCTATGAAACTTGGCCGACTCTTGGAAGTGAGTGAGAAGTCTGTATGAGGTATACCTTTTGTTCTAGAAACTAGAAATAACATTTGGTTTCTGTTATTTTGATGTAGATTCTGTCTGGTCATGAAGGCCCAGTGTGCAGTGTGGCATTCAGTCCTAGCCTAACCAGTACTGCCATGGCTTCTGTCAGCTGGGACAAAACACTCCGCATTTGGAATGCAATTGAATCTGGTTCAGCACATAACACTGTTTCTCTATCTGGAGATGGTGAGATGCCGTTTTCTCTTTTACCAATTTTATAAAATGAATCTTCAATTGAAAAGAAGGACAAAACTAAATTTATATTTTTTACTCTTTTTGCAGGTCTGTTTGTTACATACCGACCAGATGGAGAGGAGATTGCTGTGGCTTCTCTTGATGCTCAGATTTCATTTTTCAATGCTAAAACTGGAGACCAAACAAGCAGTATTGAGGGCCGAAAGGACCTTGGAAGTGGACGTTCTGACACAGACCTTGTTACTGCTAAACAATCTTTAAAGGGAAAGTAAGTAGAGGAAAACTATGGCTATCCCTAAGCTCAAATATTGGTATTGCTGGAAATATCCCTTAAAAGTGCTCAAAAATTAATATTGGACATTTGTGTTTTAGGGCATTTAACAGTCTTTGCTACTCAGCTGATGGACAAAACATTTTGGCTGGTGGACAGTCAAAAAATGTTTGCATTTACAATGTGAAAGAGTCAATGTTAGTGAAGAAGTTTGAGATAACTCAGAATAGATCATTTGATGCTGTTGATGTAAGGAAATTTTAAATTACCCACTCTATGTTGATTTGTAAAATTGTCATGCTTAATATATTGTTTCATTTGGCATGGATTTAGGACTTTGTCAACCGGCGCAACATGACTGAATTCGGTAACTTGGCTCTTGTGGAGGAGAGAGAAGTCAACGAAGGAGGCAATGTTGCGGTTCCTCTTCCTGGAGTGAGGTCAGGTGATATGGCTTCTAGAAATGTCAAGCCCGAGGTTCGAGTTTACTCACTTCAGTTCTCACCAACTGGTATGCAAATGTTTCCGTTTCTTAGTTAATTTCGTTATATTGCATGATCTTTCTTTGTATTTCTTACCTACTTTTCTTTTTCATTACAGGTCAATCTTGGACTGCAGTCACAACAGAAGGACTTTTGGTCTACTCACTTGACGCTGGTTTGGTCTTCGACCCTTTTATGTTGGAGTTGGGTATTACCCCTGAGTCAACTAGGAAAACTCTAGAAGATGAGGATTATGCTAAAGGTAAAAAAGAACAACACTCAGTGTTACCATGGTCTGGTTACTTCTATGTGAAAAAAATGTTTGACTTATACTTAAACCTGTTTCAGCGCTTATGATGGCTGTGAAGATAAATGAACAAGACCTTACCCAGGAAGTTTTGGAATCGATACCAATTGGAAGCTGTAAGGCAAAATATTGCTTTGCTAAAAATTTATCTAATTTAGAGCTTCTTAAATTAAAACCTGTTTAATATTCCTTGCAGTGGAGCTGACTGTTTCATCCATGCCAGCCATGTATCAAATTAGGGTTCTTAAGTTTGTAGCAAGCTCATTGGAAAGCACAAGGCACATTGACTTCTATCTCCGATGGTCAACATTCCTTTTGAATTCTCTCAGTCCTGGTTTACTTCGTGACAGAGGTTCAATTACACACTCACAACTTATGCCTGTTCTGTTGACACTGCAGAAGGCTATTACTCGCAAGCGTGACGATCTTGCAAAAATGTGAGTCCCGCTTTAAGAAGTGTTAATGTCAATATCATTCAATGAAATTAAGTTCTTGTTTTGACTTGTGGTTGTCTGTTACAGCTGTGATTATAACAAGTACACTCTTCGCTATCTGAAGAAGTTGAGCGTGCTGAGGAAGAGCGACAATGCTCTGGAAGGCACCTCCGATGGTGAAGAAAATGGCAACTCTGACAATACAGATGAAGAGGAACTGATGCTTATGGGGTGAAGCAGATGTTAATTGGTTACTGTTAATAAAGATGTATTTAATTTTATGTGTGCTTAGTTAATTTAATGTTCAAACCAGAGGAGATCTAGTGAGTGCGCTGTAATAAGGGAAAGGGAGAGGACGATGGGTGGGGGAGAAAAAGAGATAGGGAAGTTTCTTTTATGGAATAGTTTTTTTTAACGTTTTATTGGGGGGATTTGATTTTGTTTACAATTTGGACTGGGGAATGTAAATTTTGTCAGTGTAGCAGGCATGAGAAAAGGGGGGGGGGGATTGTCACACGCCGTACGCTCGCAGCAGCAGGATCGGCCAGTAGCACAGCACGAACATGATGAACAAGGCCGGGAACACGAGCCTGGACATGCGGTCTATCTCTCGCCACAACTGCCTCTGCTCGCCGGGGCCGGCGGCGCCGAGGCGGTCCGTCCAGGCCGCGGGGGCGGTGGCGGCGGGGGCGGCGTGGCGCGGGGGCGGCAGGAGCAGCACGTGCGGGGGGCTGTCGGCGTCCTGCGACCCGGACCCGGGGACGCGGGGGCCGACCCTTGGGCCGAGCCGGCCGCCGACCCCGAAGAGCTGACGGCCACCTTGCGCCAGCGGGCGCCACCGCCAGGGAAGGCCCCGGCCACCTCCCACGCCTGCGAGTACAGCTCGCCCTTCTCCACGGCCGAGATGCGCTGCGCAAGGACAACACTGTCGCTGTCTCTCGCAACGACGCCCGACAGTGGACCAGGAGACCGGCGCAGGCGGCCAAAACTCTAGACGCGTTTTGAGCTCCAGAGTCGCTGAACAGGACTCGAACCGAACGTGTGACCCCACCAATGGATCCCTCGTTCGGAGAGCTATCCATTGGTGGGATCACACGTTCGGTTCGAGTTCCCTTCAGCGACTCTGGAGCTCAAAACGCGTTTAGAGTTTTGGCCGCCTCCACCGGTCTTCTGGCCCACTGTGCGACGCCCCGTGAGTGCGAGGGAGACAGCGGGCTGGACTTACCAGTGGCAGCGAGCCTCGCTGCTCGCGCTGCTCGGCCTGGTGCTGCACGTGCAGGACCTTGACGACCACGAACTCGACCAGCGCGGCGAACACGAACAGCATGCAGGCCGCCATCCACACGTCCAGCGCCTGCGAGAGGCAGGCCAGTCAGTAGTCATTGATTGCTCTCAGAAAGAGGAGTCCATTGGTGGGGTCACACGTTCGGTTCGAGTCCCATTCAGCGACTCTGGAGCTCAAAACGCGTCCGGGACTTTGGCCGCCTCCACCGGTCTTCTGGCCCAATGTGCCGCGCTCACCTTGACGTAGGCGACGGGCGGGATGTCCTTGAGGCCAGTGAACATGGTGACGAGGGTGAGCATGCAGGTGACGAGCAGGGTGACCCTGCCCGGGATGGCGTCCAGGCCGAGCCAGAAGCCGCACCAGCTCAGCAGCACCACCAGGGAGGACGGCGCGAACGTCTGGATGAGGTGGTGGCCGATCTGGCGCTCGAAGCGGAAGAACACCACCAGGCGGGAGAAGTTCCCTGGGGTTCGGATTCACCGCAGCAGTTTTACCACGAATATGAGCGAAAATAGCAACGATGTGCACTTGTGTCAAAAGGGTTGCCTACCTCAGCCTGCCTCAGGCTAGAACCCTACATGCCCTAAGGGGTAATGTAGGGCTCTACCTCAGGCCTCTTCTCGACAGCACAGCAAGGTGGGCCAGAAGACCGGTGGAGGCGGCCAAAACTCTACACGCGTTTTGAGCTCCAGAGTCGCTAAGCAGGACTCGATCCGAACGTGTGACCCCACCAATGGATTCCTCGTTCGGAGAGCAATCCATTGGTGGGGTCACACGTTCCGGTCGAGTCCCATTTAGCGACTCTGGAGCTCAAAACACGTCCGGCACCTCCACCTCTGGCCTACTAGGCTGGGCTGTGCTGTCGAGAAGTGGTGTGGACGGTGGGCTGAGGTAGGCAACCCTTTCGACACTGATTCTGGTGCATCGGTGGGAATGTTAGCGTTCTATGTAGGGGTAGGTTGGGGAAGAAAAGTACAGGGTAAGAAAAGTACAACCTTTGTGGAGCTGATCTCTTGACTTTTAGCCATCCCTCGACCAGTGATTTCCAGTTAACATGAAAATCTGAGTGTGAAAACACTGTTAAATTGATGTCATGGACTGGAGCAGTAGGCCAGAAGAGGGGTGTACTTTTCTTACCCTGTACTTTTCTTCCCCGACCTACACCTAATTCGGCAACACAACAAACGCAACGCACCGTCCTTCTCCATGCGGTAGCCGCCGGTCTCGCGCAGCTCCAGGGGCGTGCCCACGTTGTACTGCAGCAGCTTGAGGGCCGGGTTCACCGAGACGCCGTCCTCGCCCCACCGCAGCCGCAGCTTGCGGTCGTTGTACGAGACTGTACGAGAAAAAGCGCGCCGAAGCGCCTCTGTTTATTAGGGGTTCGGGTGCTGCTATGTCCATGCAAAAAAAACTCCGACTACACTGCAAAACCAGTGGTTAGTTTACTTGCCCCATATTTGGCGAACGTGGCAACTTTTATCTAAAATCGAAATAAGCTTGCCGAAGCTGGGGAGTATTGCCGGGCCAAGCTTGCCAGTTTTTGGCATTCAAAACTGCTTGCTAATTTTGTTGCAAGCAAGCTTACCACTCGCTTTGCAGCGTATGCAGCAGTGCCAAAAGGATTGTCAACATCAACCTGCTTAAGTACTCTGCAAATTAGCTATTTTACGAATAATAAGAAGAAAACGTCGTCGAACGTCAACGAAACCAACGACCCTCGTCAACGAAACCAAGATGTTGCCTAGTTGACAGGCTGAGGTTGGCAAACCTTTTCAGGCCCGGCGCTTTGAGGATTTTTGCCTACTCGAGTGGCAGCCCTGGCTGAGCGGTCCAGTCCGTGTCCGCGCGTCGCTACCGTCAAAACAAACCGTTGTTCAAGCGCCAACGCGAGTGTCAACAAGCCAGAAGCGGCAAGAGAGGGGTGCTTTCAGTGATCCTGTAAACATTGAACTACCGTTGAACGTTGAGAGTGGATCGCCCCAGTGCGTTTCGTGTTACTAGTGTCGTAGTGTTCCGTCCTTAGAGCGCGCAGTGCGGCGTGAGTGAGGTTAGGACCGGCCGCCTCTCGCATCGACATCGCTTTGCGGGAAAAGGATCCCGCAGGCTCACGCCGTCTACAGCGTCGAGAAACGCATTTCTCGGCCAACTTGCAGCCATGCTCATTGCCAACGGCCACGGACAACGCCGCAGCGAAACCAGTGTACGCAGAGGGAAGGACCACAGTGGACAACAGCATCGGTGCCCCCACCCCCACCCCCTCCTCCTGAACACTCTTCAACGGTCGTTTCGCCTCCACCGTAAGCACCGACTTCGTGGTTACGCTCCGGCTCAGGACTGGTGCCACCACAGCGCAACGACAAGGTAGGACATGACAACAGCACCCAAGCGACTCTGGAGCTCAAAACGCGTCTGGAGTTTTGGCCGCCTCCACCGGTCTTCTGGCCCACTGTGTGGCGGCCAGCGGCCGGAATCCCGGACGCGCTTTGAGCGCCAGAGTCGCTATGAATAGGACTCGAACCGATCGTGTGACCCCACCAATGGATTGCTCTCCGAACGAGGAATCCATTGGTGGGGTCACACGTTCGGTTCGAGTACCATTTAGCGACTCTGGAGCTCAAAACGCGTCCGGGATTTTGACCGCCTCCACAGCAGGCGCTACTCCGCGCGGCAGCAGCCTAGCGCAGCGCGCGGAGTATCGCCACGGCCGAGCGCCCAATCACGTGAGGATAGGCAGCCGGGCGGACAGTGCTGCGGTCGCGCTGCCTGCCTGCACGGCGCTCTCCGCGAAAGAGGCTCTCGTCGCTCTCTCTCTCTCTCCCCTCTCTCTCTCTCTCTCTCCTCTCTCTCTCTCTCTCTCTCTCTCTCTCTCTCTCTCTCTCTCTCTCTCTCTCTCTCTCTCTCTCTCTCGCACTCGTGCGGCGTGCCGCACAGTGGGTCAGAAGATCGGCGGAGGCGGCCAAAACTCTGAACGCGTTTTGAGCTCCAGAGTCGCTAAATAGGACTCGAACCGAACGTGTGACCCCACCGATGGATTGCTCTCCGAACGAGGAATCCATTGGTGGGGGTCACACGTTCGGTTCGAGTCCCACTTAACGACTCTGGGGCTCAAAACGTGTCCAGAGTTTTGGCCGCCTCCACCGGTCTTCTGGCCCACTGTGTGCCGTCGGCCTGCGAGAGAGACAGACTCACAGCTCTCGATGTAGACGGGGCACAGCTGGATGTCCATCGGGTACAGCTTGAACTCCATCTGGCAGGCGATGATGGCGTGCATGCGCGCCGAGTAGCGCACCGTGCGGTTGCGGTACAGCGTCACGGAGGAGAACTGGTGCGTCAGCATGGCGATTTCTTCAAAACAAACGCACAAAGAAACACTATAGGTTATTTTTTGTGAAGAAGGAATGAGGAGCAGTACAGTAGTACGGGGCCGTCACAAAAATTCCCACGGTGTGCCAGGGGTGAAAGGGTTGCGTTCTTCCCACCTCTGCACTGTGCGAAAAAACCACAGTGAATCCCGTTAATTTTTTTGCCGGGATTTACTGTAGTTCAGAACACAGGATTTACCGTGCCTGGCTACAGTATCTTCTGTACCTGGAACAGGATATTCCGTACTTTACTCCTGTGGTACAGTAAATCCCGTACAAAGTACAGTAGATCCTGTTAAAAAAGTACAGTAAATCCTGTACCCTGAACTACAGTGTCAGCTGTACTAATCACTACAGGATTTACTGTGATTTTTTCCCACAGTGTGATTGCCTATCGGGCAATGTTGTCGCGTTGCTATGGAGAAATTGCTTACTATGCAATGTCCAGGGCAGCGGTTCCCAACCTTTTTCGGCTTGCGACCTAAAAATGGCTGCCAAAAATTTCCGCGACCCTGCAGCCGAAATGTCGCGACCCAACGCGACCCATGACTCTCAACCCCTCCCCCCAAAAAAAATATCATTTTTAAATAATGTTTTAATTGCTTTTTGTTAAGCTTTATGTTCGGTATTTTGCGTCACCACAACGCGTAGATCTCCTTCGTAGATTCAGACAGGTATGTTGTAACGAAGGGCAGTAGAACACCACCCCATGGGAACAACCACGTATCATCCACGTGGAATCCACGTGAGATAGGTGGATTAGGTGGATAGCATTTTTCTACCTTAAATCCACGTGACTTTCACGTTGATTTAACATCGATTTGGGCGTCTATAGTGGTCCATTGTAAATCAACGTTGACTCTACGTGGATAGTCCAACGGGTTTGAGGGACGTTGTGTCTACGTCGATAATGCGGTAACCTTGTGACGAGTATCCAGAGCGGTCCTATCGATATCAATGGTATGAGGATTGAGAGCCTTAACTTTTCTACACGATCTCAATGTCGATCACACGTATTCAAATTCATTGTAGCATGGTCGTCTGTCTGAGCCGGATTCATCGCAGAGGATTCGGACTTCCACGTGGATTCAACGAAGATTATGCGAGGACTTTGGAACTCGATTAGTTTTGGAAGCTACCGACAGAGGGCCTGCTGATATTCCTGTCTTTCCTTTCCCTCTCGACCTGCAAGTAGGATGCCAATTCACCATATCCCAGAGCCATAATACAATGCCCGTCGGACAACCTAAGTGGACTTGACGTGGTCCTCATAGGACATGTCTCGATCGTATGAATTTTTGGACGTCCTCACGGTGATCAACCGCGAGAGGACTTTCTAACATAAATGCCGGGTAGGTTAAGTCATAGATTTCACATCGATTATCAACTCAATCGAATTATGCTTCACCAAGCTCAGAATGACCGGTACGCACCTCGATGTAACATCGATGGTAGGTGGATAGGGCGAGTTGCTGAATCCACGTTGCATCCACGTAGTTTGACTTGGACGTTTCTACTCGATTGTCGAATCGACCATCCACGTCGATTCCACGTGAAAATTAACGTTGCGTCCACGTCTCATCCACGTGGATGTTCCCATGGGGCAGGGGGTGGAAACGGGGCTGATTTGGCGGGCCTTGGCTGCGGCGATGCGTGCACGGCCGTTTTTGCCGTTTTCACCACTTTACCGCGTTAGTTGGTAAACCACTTTCCACACTGGTAAAACTAAAGCGTAACTCTATGCTTGAGTCAAGCATAAAGTTACGCTTGAAGACGTTACGCTTGAAGTCAAGCATAGGCTAGAAATTCCCCCATGCATTTAGATAGGGGAAATCTTGGCGGATGAGCCTCTTGCGCTTGATTTCAAGCGTCAACTGATTACGCTTGAAAACAGTGGGTAATACTACGCTTTTGTTTTACCAGTGCAGCTGAAGTAGTCGTCTTAACGACAAAACCTCAACGCGTACTTAAAGAGTAGGTTGAAGGATCAGCAAATAAGCTCCTTGGGCCGAATTGATACTTACAAAATGAGATATTCACATTTTTGTAACTTGTTTACATTTTTTTCGGCGTTTTCAGGCCAGAATCGCCGCGCCCGAACGCGGATGAGCCATTTAAAACAAGTTACAAACATGTCCATGACTCGTCCTGTGGGTTTCAAATCTTCAAAACGGGCTTATTTTCTCGAAGAGACAACATTACTCTAGAAGTACACGTGCAGGATTTGTGCATAAGATGTCTACTTTAGCTAGAAAGTGGGTTTCTAGGAACCACAAAAAAACAACAAACAACGGCCGTGCACGCATCGCCGCACACTGAAAATCCAAGTGTGGGACAGGCATGCAATAGATAACGTGGGACAAAATGTCCCACGCTTGTAAGCGTGGGACAAAAAGTCCCACGCTTGTAAGCGTGGGACACGGTTTGTCCCACGCTTGCAAGTGTGGGACACGGATTTGTCCCACGCTTGTAAGCGTGTAACACGGTTTGTCCCACGCTTACAAGCGTGGGACACGGTTTGTCCCACGCTTGTAAGCGTGTAACACGGTTTGTCCCACGCTTGCAAACGTGGGACATTTTGTCCCACGCTTACAAGCGTGGGACAGTTTGTCCCACGTTATCTAGTGCATGCCTGTCCCACACTTAGATTTTCAGTGCAGCCATGGCCCGCCAAATCAGCGCCGTTTCCACCCCCTGAGAACACGTACGGCCCACGTGCGGATACGTACCCGCCACGCCTCGGCCGCCCCAAGCACCAGCAGGCCACCGAGCCGCCGCCCCTGCGGCCTTTCTGCAAGCGACTGTGCTCAACAACTGATGTCAAGGGCCCCTTTTCCGTGTAAATCTATCTTCCCCTTTTTAGCCGTAACAGATGCTGAGACGCATCCCACTGCCAAGGCAGACGCAAACAACTCTGGGATTAGCCTTCGCGGAAGCGCCAATACCGTAGGCTGCCGGGGGCCACTGGCGACCCAGGTATACGCTTCGCGACCCAAGGCGACCCCCGCTACCACGCCGCGACCAAAAACAAATTTCCGCGACCCAAAATGGGGTCGCAACCCCAGGGTTGGGAACCGCTGGTCCAGGCGTTACTATTCAGGCAGTTCCATCTAGGCATTGTCTTAGCATTACTATCGAGTATTTGCCTATTGGTGATGTCTTGGCTTTGGTTTCGAGAAGTTGCCTGGTGGGCGGGGGCAACCCTTTCGACACTGGTGCATCGGTGAAATGTTGGTCTGGCATTCACTGCCTCCACCCTAGGTGCGCGCGGATCCAGAGGGATGGGGGTTCGGGGGTGAGGGCCATGCCGGGCCATGCCCAGTAAGCCCAGACGGCGCGTGAAGGCGGCTAAAACTCTAGACGCGTTTTGAGCTCCAGAGTAGCTAAGTGGGACTCGAACCGAACGTGTGACCGCACCAATGGATTCCTCGTTCGGAGAGCAATCCATTGGTGGGGTCACACGATCGGTTCGAGTCCCATTTGGCGACTCTGGAGCTCAAAACGCGTCTAGAGTTTTGACCGCCTCCACCGGTCTTCCGGTCCACTGTGCGCCCCTCCCTGAAGACCTGCAGGCAACAAGTCGCGCTTGGCCCCTGTAGCCAGGCAACCTCCGCGACGTCGCCCCTCCCCCCTCAATCCGTCTCTGGATCCGCCTTACCCGACACTTTGGAGTTGATGATGTAGGGGTCGGGCTGCCACAGGTTGTCGAAGAACTCTGGCGGCAGCGTCACGTAGTCCTCGCCGTCCTCGAAGATGGCGTCGGGCATGTGCAGGCGGGGCTCGGTCCACTGCTGTCGCACAAACATGTCCACGCTGAAAAACAAAAACAATCATAAAACTACGTTTTAAAAGTTGAGTTTTGGTGTGTTTTGGAACAAATCTAAAGTGTGATACCGGAAGTCCATGTCCTCCACGTTGATCGAGTTGATGTCCACGATGTGGATGTCGAAGAACAGCTGCACCGGCTGCCCCGGCGCGGCGGGCGGCTGGATCTCTGCAGGCAAGCCAGACTCGTTCAAACACTGCCTTTCGGTTTGGAGAAACATGGACCCTGGTTTTGACGTCAAAATGGACTGTAACTGTCCATTTCTGTGCGAAAATAGGAGGTTCATTTTGACGTCCACTTTAAATGTTGCACTGTGAAGATTCTCCATATTATGGTGGTGCAGCTGACGTCATAACCCACCATTGAGACTTCACTGTACCTCATAGATATTTTGACGAATTTCGATAAAGAAAATCATCACCATAATATGTTGGTGCAGCCTTTCACCGTAGGACACTTACAGTGTCATTTTGACCACTTGTTCGCCGTGGGCAGGGCCATACCTTTGACGTAGTGGTCCGGGAGCACCACCTCGGGACGGATCGAGTAGTTTTTCTTGCTCTGCGTCTCGGCGATCCTGTTCGGCATGGCGGTAAGACGCGGTTAGGCAACTCTCAGCTTTCTGCAGACTGATTCCGTGAGTCGTTTCCGTCGCTCTGTCTTTCTCGTACTCATGGGGCGTCCCGTGCGGGCGCGAGAGACAGAGCGACGAAAACGACTCTCGGAATCAGTCTGCTGCACGGTGGGCCAGAAGACCGGCGGAGGTGGACAAAACTCTTGACGCGTTTTGAGCTCCAGAGTCGCTAAGCAGAACTCGAAGCGAACGTGTGACCCCACCAACGGATTCCTCGTTCGGAGAGCAATCCATTGGTGGGGTCACACGTTCGGTTCGACTCCCATTTAGCGACTCTGGAGCTCAAAACGCGCCTAAAAGTTTTGTCTGCCTCCACCGGTCTTCTGGCCCACTGTGTTGCAGTCACTACAGTGTAATTACAGGGCACTTGCCACATGGTTAGAGTGAGCAGGGACGCCCACGCCAACACCATTGCGTCGTCGAGGCCGGCGGACCACATTGGAAGCTGGAAGCAGGAGAGCAAAGCAGGGGTTTCTTTCGGAGTAAACTTGCGCAAAACGCCTAACGCTGAACGACTTTTTGGGGGGAATTTCCCCTCTCTTGAGTTCTAAAAATCTTGGAACGAATCTGTTCAGGTTTCCCGATATATCTAAAGATCTTGAGAAGCTCCCCCATCACAGCAAAAAACCTGTCCGGGCGTTTCCGCGGGCCCACACTGGAAAAACAGTTCAGTTTCCCAGGATTGGCCTGGGAAATCTGGGCACCTTTTTTTTGCCGTGACAAATTTCTAGAAATATCGTTTTTCCTTTCGTTTCGAGACCTCGTTTTTAACGAGATGCGGCATCAAAGATCGTCAACGGGTGGATCGCGATGGATCGTGCTCCCGAATGTCGGTTCGGGTCGGTTCCGAACCAAACCGAAGCGCCGGTTTTGGCCCAAACCGTTGACCAGCTTCGAGTCCCGGCGGCGCTATAATTTTTTTTCGCGATTTCAGAGCTGCAACCGCAACTAACATTTCACGGCACACATAAATACCGTGGAGATTCCTTTTCAAGAACCTAAAGGGTACCAGAGACCGACAAAAATGCAGGCTTCTGCCGGGACTCGAAGCTGGGCCAGTCGCCGGCCGGGCCCACGCCCGCCAGGGCTTGGCTCGGGACCGACCCGGGCCGACGTTGGCGAGCACGATCCAACGCGATCCACCCGTTGACGATCTTTGTGCGGCATGTCCCAAAGATCGTCAACGGGTGGATCGCGTTGGATCGTGCTCGCCAACGTCGGTCCGGGTCGGTCCCGAGCCAAGCCCTGGCGGGCGTGGGCCCAGCCGGCGACTGGCCCAGCTTCGAGTCCCGGCAGAAGCCTACATTTTTGTCGGTCTCTGGTACCCTTCAGGTTCTTGAAAAAGAATCTCCACGGTATTTATGTGTGCCGTGAAATGTTAGTTGCGGTTGCAGCTCCGAAATCGCGAAAAAAAATTCTAGCGCCGCCGGGACTTGAAGCTGGTCAACGGTTTGGGCCAAAACCGGCGCGTCGGTTTGGTTCGGAACCGACCCGAACCGACGTTCGCGAGCACGATCCATCGCGATCCACCCGTTGACGATCTTTGGCATGTCCCGGCGCTTACCTGTGACTACCGGAAGGTGGTGCGAAGGCCGTGGAGGAGCAGAAGCTGCAGCTGGACGTCGTTGAGCGCGGCCGGATAGAACATCGAGGCGTTCTATCCTCGGCTAGAGGAGGCTAGACGAGGATAGGCGAGGATAGATGAGGATAGACGAGACTAGACGACGAAAGACGAGGCTTAACGACGATAGACGAGGCTAGACGACGATAGACGAGGCGAGGATAGACGAGTCTAGACGACGATAGACGAGGCGAGGATAGACGAGGCTAGACGACGATAGACGAGGCGAGGATGGACGAGGATAGACGAGGCGGGAAGGGCGGCGAGGATAGAGATAGAGAGCGTCCGTTCGGCAGATAGATTGGGTCGCGCTCCTGAGGGGCCTCGTTACATGTTGACATGGACACTCGGAGCGGCGGAAAAGGAGAGAGAGAGGGGGGGGGTGCTGTCTTGGCGGTGCACTGCAACGCGACGGCGCGGCGTGTTCCTCTCCGACTGCGGGGCACACTGTGGCAAAAAGGTACGGAAAAATCTGTTAATTTTTTTGCCATGATTCTCTGTAGCCCTCTTATCAATGTTCTCCGTAGGCTCTCACAGTATTCTCCGTAGGGCCGTACAGTATTCTCCGTAAGACCGCACAGTCTTCTCCGTAGGGCCTGGGAGACTGTATAGCCCTACGGAGAATACTGTGCGGTCCTACGGAAAATACTGTAAGAGCCTACAGAGAATACTGACAAGGGGCCTACGGAGAATTACCACAACCTGTTTACAGAATTTTCCGTAGCTTTTAGCAACAGTGCAGCAGGTGGGCCGCCGCGACGCCACCGCGACGCCACCACACTGTCACACCTCGGTGGCGCGTACAGTGTGGGCGCACGTCCTTGAGGGAAAAGAAAATGGAGATGAGAAATATATGCGACCAGGGCCTGATGCGAAATGCGAACCGCTCCGGGAAACTAGTCGCTATCTCTCGTAAACGGTGACCGAGACAATCTTCCACTATAAAATGCCATTGAATGAAATTAAAATTTTCAAAATGAATTGCTTTATGCATAACGTTTGTAAATGAAATAAAAGCGACAGGGAAGAGCTGAACCTGCCTACTGCATTTTTTTTAAGTAAAAAAAAATCAGACAAGAACTTTGTTCTGCACACATCTATGATAAAATGTATTTTTTTTTGTCTTTAGCATAAATTTATGCATGATAAAATTAATTAAGATGGTATTCACTTGTTGATTTGCCGGGGCCACGAGGTACTACCACGGGAAACGATCAAAGTGATCACGTGTACCGTTAACAGACGCGTCGTAAAATAATGCGGCGTGAAACGAGTGGGACTCGAACCCGGGACTCGGGCGCGGCTGGTGCTCACCTCGGCCAGCTGGGGGCGCGCCCGGCTCGGCTCGGTCCGCGGCGCTGTTCCGGCCGGACTCGGCGCCCGGCTGCGCTCGGCTCGGCTCGACTCGGACTACACCCGGCCGGGTGCGGAGGGAATCTGTGGCCGGCTTCTTTCGGTCTCGGTCTGGCGCCCCGACCCGGCACTGTAATTCGGGCCTGCGTCAGCCGAGCGCTTCGGATGAGTCGTCCCGTCGCTCTGTCTCTGTCGCACTCATGGGGCGCTCCGTGAGGGTGCGAGAGAGACAGAGCGACGAACCGCTCTTCTGGATCGCTCGGCGCCCCAGTGGGGCTTGCCCCGCGCCGGCCGCGCGCCGCCCCTACAAGACACCCCACTCGGTGCACGTGGTGGTGTGGTGGGGGCGGCGGTGGAGGCGGTCGCGGTGACGGGTAGATGGAGTGGAGCGTCTGCCATGCGCAAAGCGGTCGGACGATAGTGCGCGCAGTCGAAAATTCCCACGATATGCACCAGTGCCGAAAGGGTTGCCAACCTCAGCTTGCCTGGGCTTTGCTGTCGAAAACACTGCAAAGCCGGGTGGTAAGTTTACTTGCCACAAATTTGGCAAGCCGTTTTGAATGCCAAAAGTTGGCAAGCTTTGGCCCGGACAAACCCCTCAGCTTGCCAAAATTTGGCAAGCTTATGAAGATTTCCGATCAAAGCTTGCCAAATGTTGGCATTCAAAACGGCTTGCCGAATTTGTGGCAAGCAAACTTACCACTGGCTTTGCAGTGAAGTTACCGAGCAGCCTCTAGCGCCTGCGAGGTAGGCCACCGACCCAGCCTGCAGCACGCCGATCTGGAGACGGTGGCCTACCTTGCGCCGTGAGACGACAGGGGCGAGGTAGGCCACCATCTCCACATTGGTGTGCGGCAGGCCGGGTCGGTGGCCTACCTCGCAGGCGCCAATGGCCAAACTGCACTGTGGGCTAGAAGACCGGTGGCGGCGGTCAAATCTCTAGACGCGTTTTGAGCTCCAGAGTCGCTAAATAGGACTCGAAGTGAACTTGTGACCCCACCAATGGATTCCTCGTCCGGAGAGCTATCCGTTGGTGGGGTCACACGTTCGGTTCGAGTCCCATTTAGTGACTCAGGAACTCTAAACGCGTCCAGAGTTTTGGCCGCCTCCACCGGTCCTCTGGCGCACTGCGCACTGCACTGCAAAACTAGCGCGCCAAGTTTCCAGTGTCCATGTTGTGTGTCCGCGTGTGTCGCGGGCGGCGGGTGGAGACCAAGACTCCCGGTACTCGAGACTTTTTGGCTGAGCGATAGCGAAGCCCTTGCCGTGTTCGGGGGCACCAAAAAGTGACTGGTCGTGAGTCTGTCTGTCCGTCTCTCTGTCTGTCTGTATGTAATCACTCACGTTTCTCAGCAACTACTGAACGAATAGTATCCAAATTTCACACCTGGTGTCTCCTAAACATCCTACAGGGGGAGTTTATCTCAGAAAAACAATTATCATCGTTTGAAATATTCAAAACATCGTTTGAGAGAGAGAGAGAGACGGCGGGCGGGACGAAGGCGCGACGAAGGCGCGACGAAGGCGGGACCAAGACATTGTCGTGAAAGCAAGCCGAAGCCAATTTGCATAGCCCCGGTATCAACTTGGCCGCAACGACTAGTTCGCCGCACTGCATTTGCAAACGGCTTCGGCGTCAAGGGGAAAATTACGCAGGACACGGCCAAAATAGTGTGGCCACTCCGAATGCTTTATAACCAAAATCCACCAAATCTACGCGCCGAAAGCGAAAGACGCCACCACAAATAAATTTCATGTATTTGGCTGAGTGCAAAAAACTTCTACCAGCCTCTTTGCCTTCAAACACTCAGACATTCTTTTTTTTCGAACGCAAAGCTCTGGAGCCTTCGGCAGTGGATGTGGTTTGGCCGCCAGTTGGGTTGTTGCCAACTTTACTGTACCTATTCTTTGGCGGATAATGGCGATGATCGTAACGTAAGAGGAAGGTGTGTATGTGAAATAAAACTGATACTGTACGTCCATAAGAGCATTTAACATCATTATGATTGTAAACAGGAATGAGACATTACACTATTAATGAAACAAACAAAGTAAAAAAATGATTCGTGTTGGCATTATTGATGCAGACCTGACAAAAATTTCTCATAGAAAGTTGCAGTTTATTTGTTTCCGTTTCCTGTGGAATGGCGCCTATCTGTTTGTTGTGGGAAAATGGATGGGGCAAAGACATTCATTAAGATGGATGACACAAAAAGATATATTGAAGAAGCGAATATAATATCACTTAAGAAGGCATATAGTCAATATTATCTATGTGCTGCTGAAATTTTTTTCTTGATGGCTAGTTCGCAAGTGGAGTAAATGTATGCTGTGTGTGGATGTGAAATTTATGGATGTTATTTGGTTATAGAATGGATCATTGACTTTGATAAATGGATTTCAATGGACGAAACCAAAGAATTCATGAGAGCATGGATTAATGATGAAGGTATTGAGGATTGTATTGATAAAGATGCGGAAAAAGCTACATGTGAAAATCATAAGGAGACAGGAGATGAGCAGAATGAAAGAGATATGAGTGGTGCGTCGCATGTGGTGACTTCTGTGTCAAGATAAGCGTATATGTGGAAATTGAAAATCAGTGAAAATCAATCTGTGGCATTCAAGTGGACAACCGACTCCCACCGACGACATCACCCCAGCAGCTTTTCATACACTCCGCAATAGAGCATGGGCAGTGGGCTTTTTGGAAGTCACTAGCGGTGATGGGACCCAGAACGTTCTCTACTCACTGGGGATCAATCTCGTGGGAAGCTTGAATTTCGACGTCTTTCCTACGATATATCTACGATTTAAGCGGAGGTTATCACTCGCCCACGAATTTATTGGCATTCGTGCCTTACAGGAACATGGATTCATTGAAAATTTTAGGACTTCATCACGTGAAACAAATAAAAGCTATGCAGTTGGAGGTTATGGACGGTTGTGTACTGCTTGTTGCCTACCCAGCAGGCGCTATCGCTGGGGGTCCTACTTTCATTAAGGCCAAAGTTTGATGAAGCAATCTTAACACTCTCCAGCAACTTCTATGCGTGCTTCGATGCCTACCAATGCCCTCTAGGCATCTTTGCAACATTTATCTTCTTTCAGCAGTAAACACCATGCCTTACAAAAAGGGGAGCATTTGAATGTTCCCGCTCAATGATCCCCAGTGAAACCTTCACTTGTCTCGATGTGCCCATGCCCTTTGCGGAGTCTCCAATATTCTTTAAAGCGAAGCCTTAAAAGTCTCTGACTTTGACTAGTTTAGTTATTTTAGAAAAAAATGTCAAACTGGATTTTTGTTTTTGCTATTCCTGCCATGCTTAAGTGTGAGAATTCTCACCTATTTTCGGTGAGAGTCGAAATTTTCACCATTTTAGTGGTGGTAATCAGAAATCTTACCATGGAAAGGTGAGTTTTTTCTAACGTAGGTCATGTTAAATTTTGACATTTGGTGGGAATTTTGTTTCTCGCCACAAGACGGTAAGACTTCCCGCAAAAATTTGGTCAGCATCCCCTCAGCTTTCAATTTTCAGCGTGGCACGTCGGACAGGGTACCTTGATCCAAACGGCGTTTTTGGCTGAGCGATAGCGAAGCCCTTGCCGTGTTCGGGGGCACCAAAAAGTGACTGGTCGTGAGTCTGTCTGTCCGTCTCTCTGTCTGTCTGTATGTAATCACTCACGTTTCTCAGCAACTACTGAACGAATAGTATCCAAATTTCACACCTGGTGTCTCCTAAACATCCTACAGGGGGAGTTTATCTCAGAAAAACAATTATCATCGTTTGAAATATTCAAAACATCGTTTTGAACTAGGTAATTAGCATGGTTAGGTTGGTAGCAGCGTGTGGCTGACCAATTTCTCATACCAGCTGCCGCGCTTGCAAGCCGTCTGCAAGACGGGACCGCACTTGTGCAAATAAACAAACCAAAGAGCAAAGGGTTTCTCAAATAGGTACTGAGATAGTTTTTTAACATTCTAGAATGATTGAAACCCTTCCGGAGTGTCAACAGAGGAAAATACAAAAACTGAATGTGAGAATGGTTTGCGTGTTTCTTTCCCCCTCTCCCCCCTCCCCCGTCGGGGGAATCTTCCTTCAGGTCAGTGCACTGTGATTGTAGTTGTGGATTGTAAATAGGTAGAATGTTTTCTTTGCCTTTGTGTGCATCTACTTATTTTATTCTCTCTGATACTATCCTTATTTTTAAATTTCATAGTAAATCAAATCAGGTAAATGCATGAATAACTTCTGTTAAAATTAGAAGAAATGTTAATTGTCTTGGTTTGTCTCGGGAAATGACATTCTATTGCAATGCTGCAAGCTAACATAAATATTCTAGTACTAACATCTATTGATTAAAAGAATCCATATATAGAT